TTAATCCAAGTGAGCCATAGAGGCAACCACTTGATCCTGGTACACGACTGATGAATGATAAAGAAGAGTGAACAAGAAGTGCATGAGAACCTCTCGTTTTTGTTGTCCGTTCTCTTTTTTCGTAATTCTATTCAAATTTACTGGCAAGCACGAAATTTTGAAACTCTAGTACAAAATTACTCACCCTATTCCTGTTATTCATAGTCTACGGTTAATTGTAGCGTTTCCACACTCTCTGAAACGGATTATAGTAGGCTTTGTGAGCCACCCACTCCCTACCCTGAGCAAAACGCGTCCATTCAAACTAAAGGATATTTACGTTATGCAGTCTTGCTGTGCGAACAGACGCCCGATAAGAGAATGGTTCATAATCGAGTTGAACCGTAGTCTGTTAACGAAACAGCATTTTTGGCGTATAGCAAGAACACATGCCCCCCTCTGGGATCATTCGTCGGAATACATCGAAAAGCGCTTTGCGATCGAGCACGCGTAGTCCAAAGTTGCAACGAATATGGCGTATCGTAGGTGATGTATGCGTGTTCCCTTAATACAGGACACCTCAATTCGTATGGCGAATAGAAACAAACAAATCGGATAGGCAATCGAGAAGTGTAATTTTTACTGTTAGCAACCCAAATTCGGGAAGGTGGTTGATTCACAAGGGAGCGAGAGAAGAAAACGGTAGACTGTTGGTACCAGCCAGCCAGCCAACAAGCCAACCATCATGTGTGGAGGAACAAACCAGTCGGCTTAAACAAAGGGAACAAGTGGTAAACAGACGGGATGGACTGGCAGGCGAGGNNNNCACGGACGCGAATTCGCGAACCAGAGCAATGAACATACAAAGAGATTAACCAAAAATGTTAAAATAAGAATGTGAAGAACCGTATCGAATAAAGTTAGTAGCAATGGTACAAAAGAGACATTCTCGAGGCGGAGGGAATCGCCCATGTGTCGAATCTCAGCTCGCAAAGGAGTGTATGTTCGTGTGTCACTTGTCTTGTCCTCCGATACAATTAGAGTCCATGACCAGTTGAAGGGGAACAAAGGGATGATAGTGATGATAGGTTGTAGTGATGGTGGTGGCTGTTTTGGGAGGGTGTGAATCACAATAGGCAGGAAAAATAACAAGACCATACCGCTCACATAAAACCAAGTGTGCAAAGATCGATTGCGGTGTGATATTGGCTGGGACCAGGATAGGAAGCAGAATCGAAAGAGCGCACTATTACGCTCAGGAGAGGCCGTAGGTGGTGGAGCTGTGTTGGCGAACAGTAGTCATAACCCAGGTCATTTTCCAGGGCAAGAAATCGAATGTAATCGATTGAAGGATGTTTAAGACAGAAGACTGTTAGCATATGGGCTACGCATAAGAGCACAGAGACGACAGAGAGAGAAAGAACAGTTCTCGAAACGGAGGTTAGACGAGACAGGAACCGAGAGAACAGGAGTAAGAAAAACGATTACAATCAACCAAGAACAAGGCAAATATTTAAAAATAGTGCCTGAATAAATCCACCAGTATGTACACGCGAAATAGCACTTTTCGTTCTTGAGATGGAAATATCCCCAGTCAATCTGTAGCACATCCCAGATTCGTTCAGTCATCAGAGTCGGCTCATGGGTAGAGAATGATGATAGATGCGACAGAGAAGGAATGGAGCTAAACAGCCACGAATAGACAGGGTCTTGCAAGACAATATTCATGACAAACCGCGCGCACATACCGTACACGAGCAGGCGTTGACACACATGAGCATCAATGATTCAGGTCAGAAGACTAATCATAAAATAAGGTCTGAAATTCAGTGAAGGAGAGTTCCGGTTAGGTTTGGGGTAGTGGAGGAAAAGGAAAAGATTTCTTCACGTTCATATCCAAAGAGTTCGACATTCCGTAGATGAAAGCCGTGTAACTCATGTAGCAGGAAGGTGACGAGGAGGAGATGGTTAGCGGAAGGTGAATCCATGTACATCAAAAAATTATGTGAATTTCTGACACGTGAGCAGAACGAAAGATAAACGGAAAAGAGAGGGGAAGGAAGCCAGATACAAAGCCATTGGGGGAGGGTGAAGATTTCCAATGCTGCCAAAAGGATGGGGGAATTTGCGATAGGACAGGGAGAATAGTAGAAATGAAAGTTAGCGGTACCTGAGATAAATGAACGATCAACTCTCAAAAGATGAGTTGATCGTCAAATAGACTGAAAAGATTTTGGTTAGGTAGTTCTCCGGGGATTGAAGACATGACCTGTAGTGTAACTGATCATAGAGGCGAAGGAGAAACAAACGATAGATGAAGATTATTATAAACTGGAATTCACAGTCAACTAAAGGTTGACTGGTAATAATAACAATAATAATAAAGTGGTAGAGAGAGGTACTGTAAACAATGAAAAACGCCCTGAGCTCGGATAAGATTGAGGTAGTAGTAATTATATTCCTGAGTGAATCTGACTGAGAAAAGCGGCAGTGCCTACGATTGACAGGATGCCGGGGAAGAGGGAAAAGGCCCATTGTATGTTGACCGATGTGGATGACTACTGAAAGCACAACATATCCCAGCCGTTTTGAATTGTTCCAGGAGCGGCCACATAAGTGACACTATCTCGAATACAGAGATGACGCCACACTTGATCGCACAAACAAAACCGTGAGAACCTTTCAAAGAAGGCGAGCCTCATGAAGAACAACTGTCCTCGAAAAGCATAAACAGGACATAAGAAGATGGATGGGGATATCAGATCCCTGAGATGTCCAATTCCTTTCGGTAATATACGCACGCACGCGCGCACGCACACACACACACACATACTAGATACATACCAAAAAGAATGGAGGATTTACTGAATGGTCCTAATGAAGAAGGAAGAAAGAAAAATAAATTACTATGCAATGTCCCTGAGATGGTGGAATCACGACTTAGTTACACACGGGGGAAGAGGGCCTGATTCACAAATCTCGGTGATAAACCCAAGCGTGTGGAAGGCCAAACGACGGCGGCTGAGCGATAGAGAGGAGACAGAGGAAAATAACTTGAGCTCAAACTGAGATTCTCCACACAAGTAAATCGGTAGTCAAGTGTAGTTGTACAAGGAAGATGTGTTCCGTGTGTGTGTGTGTGTGTGTGAGAGAGAGAGAGAGAGAGAGAGACGAGGGAGAGTATAAGGGGGGTGGGTGGGGCGGGAGTCAAAGTAGCGATGAAGCTCGGAATATGAAACAAAGGAAACTCGCAAATGGGTTAGGTTGATGCCATCATGAACAGTGCGTGCGTGTATGTTTCAGAGAGAAAGCGTTCACCTGTATGTGGGAATTGGGATGGTATTTGACTGGATGAGAAAAGAAAAGTATTTCCAAAAAACAAAACCAGCGCAACACAAACGAAAGATAAACCACAACACACTGTCAAAATGAATATGTATATATGTATATGCATAGAAATGTACGTATGCTTGTATGGGTATATATACGGGCAAATGGTGGACGAAAGCCAAACAAGAAAGTAAGAAAGAAGTGAACTCGTTTCTAACGTCAATAGGTCACATGAAGGTGGATGATTCAAGTGGACGAGACGGGGGGTGAGAATAAAGAAGAGAGGGAAATGTTATGCCAAAACGGTACGGACATGGGCAATTGAATTTGTGTATGAATGCGTCTGTACGTGAGGAATAGGGAGCAAAACTGTAATCAAAAAAAATGAGAAAAGAAAACAGTTCAAAAACCTGAGTGTAGATACAAGTGAGATTGGGTGAGAACCTGAGACAAGGGGTCATGACAAAAATGTTTTTTTTTCCGGAGCCCTGAGAGTAACGATTGAGACCTGATGAGGATGATGATAAGTTGTTGTGTATGTGTGTGTGTGAAAAGGCCCGAAACACCGATCGTTTTCACTTTTTGTGAACCAACAAAGCCGAGAGATGAGAACAACTAGCACAACACATTACGATATCCGTGGTGTAGCCTCCGCATCTGTCTGCATGGAAGCATGCTCCCAACACAAGATGTGGATACACGTGTTCCGCCAGAAGAGATCATTTCTCGACTGCACAGGACGTGGATAGAGTATCACAAAATGCCAATCCGCGTAAATTTTGGAGCACAAGTTGACCAGGGGTGAAGGAATGCAGGATTCGATTGTGATTACGGATTCCCATGGTCAAAGCCCTGGAGCGGATAGAAGTGCTGCAGCTAGTTGTGACAGCGACCGACATGGTGTTCGTAATTAAAAATCAACTGATCGTGTATTGCACCAAAAGATTTGTTCAAGGTAGTTGTTCACATAGCCAGGAATTGCTGTAAGACCACGACAGGCAACCAAGCGGCGAACCGATGTGCATATATGAATGAGTCCACGTGGATCAAATGATTAGAGCTCAACGAGAGAACGATGAGAGAAAGGTAAATGGCCGGAAAGTGGAGAGAAGGGAGGAGTTCGAGCAGAAATTGCACCACAAAAGACTATAAACTATATATAGCCTTTGAGTCAAGCGATCCACGGAACGTTCGTATATACACGCACACGCACCACTCGTGGCTTAAGGTTCACTTCTAGTAGGAATTATCTTGGGTGGGGATTGATTTAGGAGACCAAGGCGATAGAGCACGATCAGTTTCGGTGAGGGATGACGAGAACGACAATGAAGAAAACGACGAAGACAACGACAACGCATTGGTTGAATCCGATGGACCATTCCTTGTCGTAGTTTGCTGTAAGTAATGAGGATAAAAAGTAAAAGGGATAATCAAGAGTAGAACCGAAGGACTGCCATCAATGAATGTCATACAACAGTTGAAATCGAGGTTAATTCACTACATTAGTACACGTAGAGGATCGAAATCTGTGAGTAACCTCGGGTCAGCTAGATAAAACACAGCATGATCAAAATACCTGGAAAAGTCAGTGAAGCATACAGTATAATTGAATCGGAATAAGATAATCGTCATCATCTTCTAACAAAAGTACAAATCAAACAATGCGAATCATTCTTACCGAAATTCATAAATCACAGTAATCCGATCGGAGTCATATTTCCGGATGCGTTGTGTATTCCTTCTTCCTCTTTCACACAGGATAGACCAATGGTTGTGGGCGCTGTATCTTCGTGCGATTCCACATTCAACTGTCGATCGTATTCGGGCTTGATGATGGATAAATCGGCACCCGGAGAGCTCCATGCATATGCATCATCCATGAGCATTGGGGAACCGCAACTTATACCCGATTTTGCTGAGGTGTTAATCGCAGCGGTGCCTATTACTGTTACTGCCCCAGACCCAGTAGTCATAGGATTTGGGGTACTTGGTCCGGATGAGACAGACGAACTGGATGACACGCGGGACATGGTCCGACCCAGTCGCGGATCTGAACCGGTTGAGTGTGATAATGCCGGTGGAGTGTGCGATAACGGTGAACGATCCATCGGTTCTGAGCCGTACGGAGCCGGGGTGCAGTCGTGCACGGCGTTGGAATGCGATACAAGACAGACATCCATAACTGGTGAGGAACCGTGAGGTGGGGACTCGGAGGAATCTGTTCGGTTAATCGAATAGCCATGTGTAGAATGGTTGGCTGCATTTGTGCTGCTCACCACTGAAGCCGAACAAGTGTTTGCTGCAGCAGAGACTACGAGGGTTCCATTGTTCGCATTGGTGCTCGCGCTCGTATTGCTATAACCATTGGGTGAAGGCTGATGAATTGTCGTCGGAAGATGTGATGTATGGTAGGCGTACGGATGTATCAGTTGACCAGTTCCAGACGCGTCTGAACTGGCTAAACTTGAGGCTGAATAGGGAACCTGGTGGAGTGTGATGGACGAAGTAGATGATGAGGATGGAGACTGGGCCGGTGAGTTCAGTTGCGGTGGAACAGATCGAGCAGCGAAATGCTGTACCGTACCTGATGCTGCTGGTGTCACTTGGGTTGGACGATGCTGTGGCGAATCGGAATAATATCCTATTGGTCCACCGGTTTGCTGGACACTATTAGAACCCGTAGGAATGGGATAGTGGTGCTGCACAGTTTGTGGAATAGACAAGCCTGAACTGGGTCCGTAACCAGTCCCGTTCGTCGATGTATGTGAGACACTGGGGTCCGGGTTAGAAAGACCACTGCCGTTGCTGCTAGTACCACTACCACCGGCACCACCGCTTCCGCTAGCCCCATTACTTCCCGAGCCACCGCTATTAGTGGCTGTACCACCGGTTGGTGTGTGGTAGCCGATTGTGGTCGGGTAACCTGTATGCATGGTCTCTGTTGGGCACATTTGATAAGATGAATTGGTCGCGTGTTGGTTGGCTGCACTCGCCAATACAGCCGCTGCCGCAGCCTGGGCAGCCATAGCGGGAGTCGGAGTTTCTTCGTGTGGAATATCATATGTTTCTGCATACAACGGGGCCAGTCGAGTCCGATACCAATTTTCCCTGTACCAGCGGATACTCAACTGCATTGTCTCACCCAGGGTAGCCAACTGACTGATAGCATTGCGCACCTGGGCCAGCAAAGCCGGTTCACGGGGCCGGTTGCGTTCTAACTGCATCCGTAGTGCAGCCATGTGACGATCCTGCATTAAAGCTACCTTGTTCGGTTCGTTCAGCCCATAGCGATCTGTTGTATCGGGCGCATGATAGAAACCATATATTAATAACTACTTAGTCAACATAGGGAACTGCCAAAACCATATCATAACACAAACCAATCATCTTACCTAAAACACAAATGTTCACGTAATGTGTTCTGGTGAATACTGCACTTATCCCAATTAGGAGATAAAAGCGAATCGGACAGCTAGATAGAATACGTGGCAGATTGGATGTAATATCTAAACGACAAAATATTGTCTAGTTAGTGCTGCCCTAAACCTAATGGGTAATTACAACAATATAGAATACAAGTAAATTCTCGGTGTTTGGAAACCTGACTTTATCTACCTCCATGAAAGCACAAAGATAGTGATTACCAGCGAGCATAGGAAAATCAAGACACCTTAGTTTTGGTGCTGCATAACCAGATTAACTTAGTTGACAAAACATCTGCGTATTTCCCTGCTTTCTCATGAGTGAAGCCAGTNCCAGTCAGTCCAACGATTTAGAAAATATTAAGACGAAAATTGGCGAGTGTACCACCAATATGATCCTAATTGACTTGGATAACAGGAGGAGATTCTTTGAGGGGGAAGGCATGAAAAAAGCATCAATTAATAAACCTCACTGAAAGGCATTTTCGGAGGGCAGAAAAGAAAGTGTTCTATGTTAATAACTCATACAGAGAATAAACCACACCCCAGAAACTGCAGCAAGTCTATACATTATCCAGAACCCATGAGAGTCAAGGTTTTTAAACTCGTAAAACAAGCGACTTATAATCTTATTACGTAATCCAAACATAGCCGAGCATCCCTTGCCGCCTAGTGAATCTGAAGGGGACACCTATACAAGTAGTTGGGACGTTAGTTGATGCATCCTCTGATAGACAGCAGATAAAAGGAAAGAAAACATCTGCAATCGCGTTCATCTAGTCCTGCGCCATCGACTAATCACAGTGAAAAATTGTCTCTTATCGCCAAAATTATGGTACGTATCACAAATCGTACTGTGTTCGTGTAGATGTTATCACGTCAACCAGTCACACGTATTACATCAGATTTGTGAGCACAGA